CCTTTGGTGAAAATCATGAGGTCATCAGCATAAACCAAGTGTCCCACCCATTTGAGGGATCCCATATTGTATCTTTTAATAAAGCCTGTATTTAAATGGTGGTTTAGCAATCTGGATAAACCTTCACCTCCAATGATGAAGAGAAGAGGGGACAAGGGGTCACCTTGCTTTACTCCCCTAGTCATTGGAAAAAAACCTGTTGGTTCTCCATTAAGGAGAATGGAAATAAATGTGGACTTCAAATTTGCCAAGAAATGTTTAACCGAGCGAGAAGAAAAGCCAAAGCCTTTAAGAATGGATTCCAGGTAGGACCAGTCCATCCTATCAAAAGCTTTTGCCATATCAATCTTGAGGATGATATTGCCCCCAAATACTTTCTTATCCAGTTGGTGAATTGCCTCCTTGGCCATGAGAATGTGGTCCTCAATGGCTTTTCCTTTCTGGAATGCAGCTTGTTCATCAGAGATGATTTTAGGGTGCAGCTTCTTGAGCCTATTTGCCAACATTTTGGTGTTGATTGTGCTCATGAATGTGGAGAGAGAGATAGGCCTGAAGTCACCAAATGTTTTAGGATGGTCTGTCTTGGGAATGAGGGTGAGGAAGGAGCTACCATACCCTTTGGGAATAGGCATCCCTAAAAAGAAATCTTGCGAGGCCTTAAGAACATCATGTTGTATAATCTCCCAACAGCACTTGAAGAAAGTACCATTGAATCCATCTGGTCCACTTGCACTATTGGCATCCATCTCCCAGATGGTGTGTCTAACTTCATCCATGTCAGGTAGGGCTGTGATAGAGGCATCCTCTTCTGCAGAAATAAACTTAGGGATATGTTGGAGAATAGGCATGAGGTTGGGGCAGTGATTGGCAGTTTCAGCACTGAATTGGGACTGAAAATATTTGATGGCTTCCTCCTTGATCTCCTCTCTGTTGTGAAGGCCTACCCCCTCTTGGGAAATAATGTGGTTGATGCAAAGTTTCTTTTGTTTCCCTCTGACATAAGCCTGGAAAACTTTGGAGTTTGCATCTCCCTTCTCTAACCATTTAATGTTAGCCTTTTGTTTC